ACCAGACGTCCTTGATGCACATCAACATAGTTGCCTTCTGTATGGTTGTCTGAGGTGGAACTGGCTCTCAGAATTTGCATTGAATGAGCACACTGGACCCTGTTTCTTTCCTCACACCGGTCAGGGCAAGAGAGGCCCACTGAGACATATTCATGGAGAGGTCAAATAGAGATGGCCAGCTTTCGTAGCTCCCATCTCCCAATGACTGGCTTGAGATGCCCCTAGAAGATGAACAGCACCTTCCTCAGCCACATGGAGAACACGGCATCCATAGAAGAGAGGCCAATGCCCAAAGGCATCATGCGAGAAGAGAACAGGAGACAGAAGAAGCCCACCTTCTTCAGTGCCAAAGAGAGCGAGAACAACATCAACATTGAGAACAGAATATGACAGAAGAATAGTGGCACCAGTATCAAGCTATGAGAAGAGATCAACAGGCCAGGTATAGAAATCGGCAGAGACAGCAGTGTCTGGAAGCTCAGAATAACATGGGCACTAACCATGTTGAGGGTATCCTGCCTATACTGCCACAGAACTTCCCTGGTAGCAGAACACAGCAGATGAACCAACCACCCAGACAGGTCGAATTGTGGTGGCATCTCTTTCCAAAATCCTCCACTGCAGCTGGCTGGCAGCATGCTATCTCATAGTGGAACAGGGTCTGTCTTTACTGCAGTGCAATGCTCTTCAGGTCAGTCCTATTATTGAGTGAGCCCTCACACATGTCTAACACTAAGACTATCCCTGGATTCTCAGTGCTGAGGCAAATACATTTTGCTGCAAGAATGGGACATATGTGTTACCATGGCTACCTGTGCTACTGGCTTCCTATGACATCTTTCTGGAAAGCAATCATCTGTCTCCCCTGTCTTGAAAACTCAATGGCCTCTTTGCATTGACTGCAATCAGGACAACAGAGGGCTTTGTGCAAGGACTCCAGCCCCCATCCAATGTGGTTCTCACAGGTCACACCTATCATTGCATGCTAGATGTGGCAAACCCAACACACTCAATCCATTGGTTCCTTTATGACCAGCAGGAGAGAACAGATAGAGGGTGCAGGATGAACATATCTCCAGATTGGCTTGCAGCAGTCTCAGAAGCATTGGAATGCCATAACCCATGCATCCGTGAACTTCTTCACTTTCAAGATGATGCCTTACCAGATACAGCTATGCTAGAGCTCCCTGAACTCACTGCAGCTGGAGACTTCACAGCAATCATGCATGCTAACAATTCACCATTGTTCAATCCACATAGTATCCTGATATGGCATCTGGGTATGTTGCTCCTTTCACATATGAAACTTGGCTCATTTATTTTCTAGGGGATGATCAGCCATCATATATCAGCATCCTGAGCCAGCATTATGAGCCGCTGCAGTATCCCTTGCTGTTTTCTCATGGGATGCCAGGATGGGGCATCATAGAGAATGATGGCCAACAGGCCAGAATACAACAACACTATGTAAATGCATATGGTGTTACCCAGCATCAGTGGTACTTCTCCTGCCTAATAATGGAGTACTGATTCCTATGCTTTGGTTGATTGGCCAATGAATATATTTGTGATGGCTTCTCCAGAATTGAGGAACAACATCTTGACTATATCAGATGTGCAAGAGAACATTGTGCAGAAGGACTTCACCCACCTGATGATCACAATGAAGACAGAGAAGATAGTGAAGATGATGAGGGGCCCATCAATATTGACCTACCTCCAAGCTTCATTGGATCATGCAGATGGGCAAGTGAGCAAACTGCAGATGCACTTGCCCTTGCTCAAGCTCATGGTCAAGCCACTATCTTCATGACAATGACATGCAATCCCAACTGGCCAGAGATTAGAGAACACTGCAGAGGGGGCCAGGATGCCTCAGATATTCCTGTGGTTGTTGCATGCATCTTTAAGGCACAACTGCAGCACTTCAATCAAGCACTTTGGCAAACTCCTCTACATTATCCAAGTGGTAGAGTTTCAGAAACATGGCCTACCCCATTCACATATAGCTTTCAAGGTACGCCATGCCTGTATAGGTATTTGTTTAATGGAAGCCTGAATATATTGCTAGGTCCACCCCAAGCTCCCACCAGATCAGGTAGATCACATAATCAGTGGTCACATTCCTGAAGAACCCCAATTAGCAGCCAAGATTGAATGGTGGATGTCACACCCAAGAGACCATCTTTGCCCAGACAAATACCATCAATGTAATCATGATGGGAAATGCATCTATAACTTCCCCCAACCACTTGCTGACCATACCTGGATCAATGAAGAAGGTCATGCAGTGTACAAGTGCTTCGATGAGAGGGACCAATGGATTTCATCACACATGCCTCTATTCATTGATGAACTCAATTGCCATGTCCATGCTGATATTGTCGGTTCAACACATGTCTTCATCTACCTTTACAAGTATCTCTATAAAGGCCTGGACAACACAATGTTCAATATTCTGGATCCAAACCATCCTCCTAGGGATGAGGTCAATGACTATGTTAAAGGTTGATACCTCTCAGCCTGTGAGGCTTCTTGGAGAATTCTTCGCTTTCTTATATCAAAATGAATCCCTGGCATCACATGACTCTCTATACATCCAGAAGGAGAAAACTATGGCCAATTATATTGACACAATGGTGGTCAGTCAACAGCCTCAACACTGCTTCAATACTTTGCATGTCCATGCCATCCAGCCCTACTCCCTTTGCTATATGCAAAATACTTTTCGAGATATATCTTGGATGCATGGAAAGGAGACCTCCCTCCTGGTGCATCCTTTGAAGAAGTGCAGCCAGGAATGCCACAGAAAGTGATCAAATGAAGAACACCATGCCTGTTTGCAAAGCATCTCACCATCTTGGGGGGATGTCTTCTACCTTCAGTGTTTACTCCAACACAAGGCTGCAAAAAGCGATGAAGAGCTATACTGGGTGAATGGTGTTTGATATCCTTCATACATGGAGGCAGCACATGCCCAAGGCCTCTTTGATAATGATAATGAAGGATACTATGCTTTGCAAGAGGCTGTTGCAGATCTTTGTACTCCAGCACAACTACACTTTCTCTTTGCCTGTGTGGTTCTGGAAGGGTATCCTGCTCCACCCTTATGGGATACATTTTGAGAGGATCTCTCAGCTGACTTTCTTCGGCACCTCCCACAACCTGTCACAGCATATAACCAGGCTCTTCTTTCTATTGGAGATATTCTTGCTGATGTGGGAAAGGATCTATCATATTATGGGCTCCCACAGCCTGCAAGGCACTCAGTGGAGCTCACCCAAGAACTTGCTGCATTTGCAGGTCAGGAGCTGTGGTTGGCTGAGGCTGCTTGCATTGGCTATGCACAGCTGCTGGAAGAACAACATGTGGTATATGATGAACTTCATGCATCTCTACTCACAGTGCAACATCAATACCATGCATTTGGCCCCTACTTTCTTGAAGGCAAACCAGGACAAGGCAAGACATTTTTGGTGGACACACTCTTGGCCTGGCTCAGGAGCAATGGACACATTGTTTTGGTGTTTGCATCAACAGGCATTGCAGCCACCATTTATGAGCATGGCCAGACAGCACATTCTCTCTTCTGCATTCCGGTGAAAGATGTTTGTGTCTCTCTTCATTCATAATTGCAGTGTTCTCATCTTTACTACTAGGACCACATTGGTATTCTCTCTGAAATCTGAATACCCTCTGGATGGGCAGATCTTATTCATGCTGCCAGCTTAATTGTTTTAGATGAGATGCCAGGTGCCAACAAAACAACAGTGGAAGCTATTGACATGGTTTGTTGTCATATTACAAGCTGTGATGTCCCTTTTGGTGGTCTTCCATTTCTTGGCCTTGGAGACTTCTGTCAGCTAGCACCAGTGGTTAAGGGAACAGGTGAAACAGCAGCCCTGCAAGCCTCTATTCTCTCCAGCCCACTCTGGCCTATGTTTAAGATTCGCCGCCTCCATGCACCAGTGTGCAATAGAGATGACCCAGAATTTTCAGCCTTCATGGATTATATTGGAGAAGACACCTCTGGAGAACAAGTCAGGCTCCCTCTACTTCAACCAGTATCTCACCTTGACATGGTCCTTGACTTTTTGTATCCACCACACATTCTGCAAGACCCTGTCCAGTGTTTAACTCAAGCATTTCTCAGCCCCCATAATGCAACAGTGGATACATACAATGCACAGACATTGGAGTTGCTGCAATCAGATGAAGGTGCATCTTCTGACTCAAAGCAAAAAAAAAGAACACTCACAACTTTTGCAGTAGTTTACACAAGCCTTGACTCAATCAAAGATGGAGAAGCCCTGGATCTGGATAATGAAGAACAAATGCCTGAATACTTAAACACACTCACCAAGCCAGGGATTCCTCCACATGCCCTCACATTCAAAGTGGGGGCAATTTGCCTGCTCATGAGGAACCTGTCAGTGGCAAAGCACTTGGTCAAGAATGCCAGAGTAGTTCTTGAAAAACTCAATCAATGCTTTGTTCAGGTACAACTGCTAGCACCTAATGGTGAGCTGAGCAGAGAGCTCTTCTGTATTCCCCACATCCGTTTTGCATTTCAACCACAACATTCAAGCTGGACAGTGATTTGCACACAACTGCCACTTCATCTTGCTTATGCAACTACTTTTCATAGCTGTCAAGGGCTCACCCTTGATAAGACAGTACTAGACTGTCACACTGATGTCTTCTCTCATAGCCAGCTATATACTGCATTGACCCATGTGCATACATGAGCTGATAGCCTAATTTTTGTCCCCCAAAATTGGGACTTCACAGTTGCAAACATTCAGAGCAGTCAACTCACATTGCCCTTTGTACTTATATAGCATATGGAATTCAGCTGCACACACATGTTCATTCACTGCCTTGCTCGGGCACAGTGCACTCTAAATTAGGGTCCTTGTATATATGGAGGGGCAATAAAAGGGTCCGCTTCAAATGTGCAGTCACCCGGAGTCCTCCAAAGTAACACCCTCTTTCTGATCATGTTGAAGGCTCTATGGCGTGTCGGACAACGTCCAAAGTTTCGGCCAAAGACAATCAAGGGATTCATTCATGATGCCGGTCAGCAGCCTGAGGAAGATCGTGGTTACTACCCTGCCCAGGTAGGGGACCTCCTCGATGACCGATATAAGGTTATATCGGTGCTGGGAAAGGGGATGCAATCTGAAGTCTTTTTCGTGGAGGACTCTGAGTGAGTTGTCTAGCTTGAGTGACGTGGGAGGGACTGACTTGGACTCAAGGACAAAGAAACACTGGGCCGTCAAGATTCTCCGAGATTCGACAACCCAACATTCCTCGGAGCTCGATGTTCTACAGACTATCCGACGGAAGACCACAGAAAGGCCGAAATGTGGCTCTTCGCATGTGATTCAGCTTCAAGATCATTTTACGTTGACAAGTCCGGGCGAACGCCGTCATATATGTCTCGTGATGGAGCGTCTGGGCGTTTCTATTGGCCGATTGCAGGAGGACTACCGAACCCGACAACTTCCCCTTCTCTTAGTCAAGCGAATCACGAAGCAGCTGCTGAAAGCCCTCGCGTTTCTCCATGATGAGTGTCATGTGGTGCATACGGGTACGTCCAGGAAACTTTCATTTACGCTTCTGAACATCCCGCAGATCTCAAGCAGGATAATATTCTATGTTGCGAGACGAGCGGGGTTGAAATCCTGAGCGAGATCAAGCTCATTGACTTTGGCGTTGGTATGTAGCGTTCTGTGCGTCAAGCTCAATTTCATTCTTCTGCCCTCAGCGGGGTTTACAGACGGAACTCCTGCTCAAGTTGCCCAACCGGTTCAACTGAGAGCTCCGGAGGTCTTTCTTGGATGCAGATGGGACTCAAAGGCTGACGTATGGAATCTTGGATGCTTGGTAAGCTCATGCAGCTCTGCAGGCTCCGCGGCGCTGATAATGACCAGGTATTCGAGCTCCTTACCGGAACCGCCCTTTTTCCCAATTATAGTGGAGCAAATTTCACCGTAGAGAGCTTTGTCCTTGGCTCTATGCCTGGCGTAGTGGGAGAAAACTTTCCCGATTGGATGCTCAGGGACGGTTCCCGGCGAGATACTTATTTCGTAGCTCACTGTGAGTCTATCCTCACTATGCGACTCTACAACCTCAAAGTATCATCAGCCAAATCACTCCTCGTACGGGTTGAAGATGTAGTATGTCTGGAGACAGCGCTGGCCTGCTACAACGTACTGAGCGAACAAGAGCTCAAAGATTGCGCATGCTTTCTTCATGATGCGCTTCGACTCGATCCGAAGACGCGCGGTACTGCAGCAGACCTTCTGAGGCATGAGTGGGTCAGAAACCATGATGATCCGCTTGTATGCTCTGCGATCCGTGCTAGTGTTTCAGTCTTTCCGACTCAAAACTGAACGGACGTGTTCTCCCAGCCAAACACCACACGAAGCAGATCCTTACAATCGCTTGAAAGCCGATAGTGTTCCTGAGGATACGGGTTGGAATATAGATGCTCAACTGTCTGCGGGTGTGTATATGGCGAAGACCGCTCATGATCTACTTATGTTTGCAGCCATGCCCACTCAGAGCCTGTTCAGCGTTGCTTTTGCGTTTCCTGGGACACAGACGAGCCGAAGTGTCACGGTCTTGCGCTTGCTGGGCACAAGCTGATAGCCATGTAAGGTTGGTTACCCCCACCTTGCTTCGCTTAGCGCACTTGCGGCGGCGAGTGCAGGCAATGCGTTGCATGACAGCCACATATCAGCCATGTATGTCACCCATCGCTGTCACTATGTAGCAGCGAACGTCCATGATACCATGTCACCTCATCTCACTTCCGCTCATTAAGCACAATACGAAAGGAGTAGGCAGGTGCGTCCCATTCTTCTTGTTTTTGTGTCCCGCGTTTACGCTCTGCGGCTCTCGCCACCAACTACAGTGCATTGATCACTGGCATGGCACGGCACGTGGAGGCCATGACACTGTACTAGTAGCTTCCGTTGTCAAATGCTCCTGAACTCCAGTGTGCTGCGTGCAAACATTGTCCGACCATTGTCCCCGCTCATTATATGCCATCCTGTGCGATGCCGATTGCGGACAAAACCAAGATATCTGCACGGACAATGGCCGCGTCGAGTGCGTCGAGTCCGCAGCGGCTTAGCTTGCAAGTTGCGGCGTACAGCCCCTTGACCGAATGCATACCATTGTTCGTCCTGCGCTTCCAATGAAATGTTGGCACGGCAACCAGAGTGCCCGGGAGACAATGGCCGTCAGGCAGCCCAGATTTTCGGGAGGTAGCACGGCGTGAGCACGGTATCCCTGGCATATAAAGCATACTCGTTTATCCACAAGCCCTCTTGCATTGTCTTCACGTCTAGCTACTCCTGCTGTCCACATCACCCACACCCACTCTTCCTCTTTGAATCGGATAGCCTTCGAGATGTTCAGACCAACCCGACTGGTCCAAGCGATCAAGAGCGTCCTCTGGTCGAGCAAGCTCAATAATCCTTACGGCTCCGATTTGGCGGCAAAACAGGCGGTAGAGCAACAAGTGTTGCAGCACGTCAACAAGAATCGCAAAGATATCGAGGAGCGTGGGGCGAGCGTTCTAGTAATTAGGTAAGCTGTTCGCCCTTTGTTTCCCAGCTGGAGTCTCTTAGGGCATGCAGGAGTCCCGCCCACCCTGGAGGAACGAATCCTAAAGAAGGATGACACGTTACAGTCGACGCTAAGAGGGACAACGGTACTCACGTTACGACCATCCATGTTCCTACTGCGTGAACGGGTTCGGCCGTTAAGAAAGGACAGAGTACGTTCAGTTGTTCGTAAGATCGTTTTCACATCGCAGCCTTGGACACATTCTGAACTCTGACTATCAGAAAACGACGAGAGAGCGAGCCAATTCTGATACATGGCAGGGTATACCTGCACATTCTAGCTCCCTAGTTGAGACGTGTTGCTCAAATCTTGTGTTCGTCCTCGACTTTGATCGATTCTCGATCTTGCATCGGATGCCAGCGCTATCACCCAGTATGTCCTTGCGTGATGGGCAGCCGAAACGAATCTCAACCTGGGGAGCCCCTTCCCACGCCGCTGCGAGGTCCCGTTTTCGACCCTTCGGGTGCTTTGATGGGACAAAAGGGTGCGGCAAAAGCAAAGGTCCCTTTGCTGTGTATACTGCTGCTGGAGCAAAGGGCTTTCTTTTCCTTCCACTGACCAATCCGATTCCGCCGTCTGTAGAGTCCAGTTGCCAGGAGGAAGGCCGGGAGCAGCCGTGACGAGGGAAGCAAATGTAAAGCAGAGGAAGGGAGCTTGGCAAAGGGCTTTTGCTGCAGCAGGGGTCTTTTGCTGAGGCAAAGGACCCCTTAGCTGCAGCAAGGGTACCAGTGCACATTTGCTGCAGGAGGGAATTCCTCTGGTGCCCCCTCTGCAGAGGAAGGTGAGCAAGGGAAGTACTCCTCTCTGCCTGCAGCATTCATGCAATGGCTGCAAGGTAATGGCAACAGTCACCCCAGTCTGCGTGAGTCAGGGATGGTGTGGTGGATGTCAGCACCAAAGTTATGGTTGCTAATGAGGGACAAATGCCTTTGCTGCAGCAAAGAGGGAATTCCTCTGGTGCCCCCTCCACAGAGGGAGGGTCCTCACATTAATGTCCCTCCAGGCGCAAATCCCTTAAGTGCCCCTTCCAAAAAAGGGCCTGCCTTAAGCAACCCTTTTAGGAAGGTAGGAGTAAGGGAAAGAGTTGCACACCAGGGTCCGGACATGTCACATTGCTTTTTGACTGTTCCTGACACATCTTCTGCACCCTTCTTGGCAGCAATGTCTTCTCTTATAGAGGGACAGACTTTTTACACTCTCAATGAAGCATCCTTTGCATTGATTGACTCTTGTAATGCTCAAAATGCATCTTGCCATGTCAAAAAATGCGATCCAAAGCAGCTCATGATGATTTGTGATACTGTTGACTGTGGATTCAAAGCATCAGTCTGCACTATGGGTTCTTCCTTCCAGATTGTGACTCTGGTGCCTGATCATACCTGCCAAACAGAGGTGAAGAAACCCCATGCTGCATTGAGTTGCTCCAAGTATATCAACCATAAAATCAAGCATGCGCTGCCACCAATGCAAAATGTTGCACCCTGAGTTCTTCAAGATATCCTCCAAAAGCAATGCATTGATATCAACTACAAATTAGCACAGCATGCACAGCAAAGTCTCATCAATAATGGTATTGCTTAACAATGCACTGAGTTTCAGAAGCTCCCAGCCTATGCAACACAAATTCACACTCATAATCCAAATGCAACTGTTGATCTTTGCCTCAACCCAAACAATGCCTTTCACTGAATCTTTTATTTGCCCCTCTCCAGCAAAGAATGCATGGAATTATATGTGATGTCTTATTGCTGTTGATGGTGCCTGGACAAAAACAAGCTTTGAATATGTACTCTTATTAGCAACTGCTCACAATGCCAATGATCAAGTCATAACACTGGCATGGGCTCTCACATTACAAGAAGACACAATCACATGGAGCTGGTTTCTTTGACACCTTTGTGAACCCCTACCCCACTTGAACAAGCCTTCAACAGTGCTTATCTCCAATCATCAAAAGGGACTTTTGAATGCAGTCTCAATTGAGCTCCCAAATGTGGTCAAAGCATTTTGTGCCCAACATATTCTTAGCAACATGGAGACAAAGTATGGGAAGGCTGTGCACTACCGTGTGTGGCCACTTGCATATGCCCAAACTGCCAAGCAATTCAATGATGAGCTTGATAAGCTGAAGAATGTGAATGCATGCACTGCAGCCTATATTAATGCAATTCCCCATGTGCAGGGCACATATGCATTCCCAGGTCATCAATTTGAAAAGTGACATCAAACTCCATTGAAATTATGAACAGTGCTTATGAAAAGCACATTGCTGTCCTGCCCTCCAACTCCTCAATTATATTTCCACCAATCAAATGATCAAGTTTGCCTTGGGTGCAATAAATATGGCAAATATCACAAAAAGTGGACACCCATGACTTACAAGGTTCTTCAAGATGAATCTGCTCATGTGAGTGAATCTACTGTTCAGCCCTCAACCCCTCAACATGCAAAGCTAATACCCTGCATGTTTGCAGGAGATGATGAACATGCAGTTTTTCTTGATTCAAACTGACATTCTGGGATGTGCACTTGTTGGTTTTTTCAAGATCACTTAATTCGATGTCAACATGCTATCAAGCTCTGTAATTGGTCTAAACTGGCACCAGGGGATTATATCAGTCCCTTTTATTCAGCAGACACCCTTCATGCTACATATGCAATACCTTATCCACCAGTACTTTTGTCAGAACTCAAACCAGATATTTCAGTTAATCCACCAAAAGAAAGGCAGGCAAGGGGACATTGCATGATAAAAAGAAAGGAGCCAAAGAAAGCAGTAAAGGTATAGTAAATACTATATATATACATATTTCATAATATAACATTATTGTGGCCAAAAACTAAAACATGTTGTTGCGACAGGTCCACACCCTGGCATGCATCTCTTTCCCCTACCACTACCTTCCCTAAAAGGGTTGCTTAAGGCAGGCCTTTTTTTGGAAGGGGCACTTAAGGTATTTGCACCTGGAGGGGCATTGTGAGGACCCTCCCTCTGTGGAGGGGGCACCAGAGGAATTCCCTCTTTGCTGCAGCAAAGGCATTTGTCCCTCATTAGCAACCATAACTCCGGTGCTGACATCCACCACACCATCCCTGACTCACTCAGACTGGGGTGACTGTTGCCATTACTTTGCAGCCATTGCATGAATGCTGCAGGCAGAGAGGAGTACTTCCCTGACTGTTAGGGCAACACAGGCTGACTAAGTCTGCTCACCTAAGAGTGCCAAGAGTCTAAGCAGGCAACAAGGAAGTGGAGTAGACCTGATGACTAAGACCTATCTACAGTATAGGTATCTGTGGATGATCCTAAGAGACCAAGTCTGAAGAGACAGTCCCAGGCAGAGTAGGCCTTATATTTATACCTCTGTGGTGGAACCTGCTAGAACATCTTGCTTACTCAGCCTAGTCAGGTGATCAGGTCATATGACCAAGGATGAGGTCATATGAGGTCATGCACAGCCATGCACAGCAGGTCACCTGACCATCCAATCCTTCCAGCAGGTTCCAGCACATGCCAAGGTATACCAGCTACTTCCATGTCATAAAGGCTTAGTCATGTCTCTTGACCAAGCAATGAGCTGGTGCCCTGACATCACCCCCCCTTCTAGACATGCTGTCCCAGCATGTTGATACTCCTTCTTCTGCTTTTCCCTTCTTCTTTCCAGATGTCCAATCAAAGAGAACCCTTTTAGGTGGTATAGTATAGTAATGAGTGGTTGGAAGTGAAGCCTATCAAAGGTGATGGCTGAAATCCCTTCTGGGAGCAGAGGGGGTAAAG